CTTCCCCTGCTTGGGTCTAGCTGAATTAGTAAGGTAGGAGAATTGTATGTTTCATCTGTGCTCTACTGCACCCTGACTGGCTCTCTCTTGCTTGTGACCCTTTGGAAAGGGGATGTCAAGTTGACTACAGGTGGGCTTTAGGTCTCCAGTCTGCACTGCCCCTCTTCATTCACATTGACATGATTTTTTGTTTTTGTTTTGGGTCTTTGATGCCCGATACCTGATCCCACTGGCACCTCATGATCACACAGGCTGATGTGCTTCTTCCATGTGGGCTTTGTTGTGTCAAGTCTTTAAGACCTCAGATGCTATATCTTTTGATAGCCGGGCACCATCAGCTTTCTTCACCACATTTGCTTATGCACCCATTTTGTCTTCAGCAATTGTGTCAGGGAAAGTGAGCACCATAGAATGCCGGGTTAGTAAAACAAAATGTTCTTCTGTTGAGGGAGTAACTGAGTGGAGGCCCAATGTCTGGGAAAGAACAGTTCTAAAGCTATATAGCTAGCTGAGTAATGGGGATTTACAGGGTTAAAAAACAGCTATATAGCTAACTGAGTAATAGGGATTATGGGGTAAAAAAAAACACCATGTTTTTAATTTCTTAAAAACAAAAACAAGCAAATAAAAATCCATAAAACCAGGGATAACCATAGTCATCACGCTTTCAATAAAATTTTTTGAGATCAGCAGTCATCAACTCACCACAAGCTGAATAAATTGAATAACACAAGTGGCTCAAAGTTCATACTAGGCAGAAATTTATTATTATTTGAACTTAATAAAAAGAAAAAGAGAAATAGGCAGAGATAACGAAATAATCTGGTTGGTATATTTAGAAATCACCTAAACTAATGAAGTTGATATGAATAGTGATTTGGGATTTTTGGAGCTATGTACATGTGTATAATTTAAATCTAGTATGGAGCCTCTGAAGGGATGCCAACCCATAGGTTGGTGGTTTGAATCTCCCCAGTGGATCCACAGAGGCAGACTTAGTGATTTGTTCCTTATAAAAATTATTGCCTGTTCCACGGGTTCCTATCAGTTGGAATTTACTCAAAGACATCTAACAAAACACAGCTCCTGAGCCACTGCTTGTGCATATAGCTGATTTCTATGTCAGAGATTTGAAATACTTGCATTAAGGAATAAGAGAGCTATAAGCAGCATTAAGACCAAAATCCCGGATTTGGGTAAAACCAAAAGAAAAGAAAACTCTAGATTGTTTAACATTCTGAAACAGCCACCCTTCTTACTTATAATTTTCAGGCATAGTGAAAATGCTATGAAAATGTTTTTCCTTCAAATGCTTCTTATCTATTCTATAATAATCCTAGTTCATGTCCTCATCATTTCTCACCTGGGTTACTCTACAGTTTCCCAACTAGTCTCCCTGATGCATCTCTCCTATTCACTCCTCTACTAAAGACTTTCTGAAAGTTAGGACAATCACCACAGTTAGTATCTTCAAAAATCTTCAATTATTCCACACTGTCTACTTAAGAAGTGTCAAGCTCCTTAATTTGGAATTCAAAGTTTTTATAAAGAAACCCCTTCTTGACTCAATGGTGGTGAGATTTTTTTTTTTTAAACATTCCATCAGGGGCTCATGCAACTGTCATCGCAATCCATACACACACCAACTGTGCAAAGCGCATCCATACATCATTCTCAAAACATTTTCTCTCCACCCAAACCCCTGACATCAGGTCCTCATCCCTCCCCTCCCTCCCCGCTCCCCCCCTCCCTCATGAGCCCCCGATAGTTTATAAATTGGTATTTTGTCATATCTTGCCCTGTCC